TTTTTGGAGGCCGACAAGTTATATATTTTGCATAATGACCAGTGAACTCATTTTGACACTCTATAATGTCTAATTTTATAATCTGTTTGTGCAGTCTTTGGACAGTGACAGATGAGGTGTGACACAGTTTCAGCTTTTTCTTGACAGAGTTAATAGGAAATGTTGACTCTGCCAAGAAGAAGATGAAACTGTGTTGCACCTCGTCCTCTGGTGCTGGCAGAACCCCCTCCCACTCGCTGATCTTTGAACATTTTGACACTCTATAATGTCTAATTTTATAATCTGTTTGTGCAGTCTTTGGACAGTGACAGATGAGGTGTGACACAGTTTCAGCTTTTTCTTGACAGAGTTAATAGGAAATGTTGACTCTGCCAAGAAGAAGATGAAACTGTGTTGCACCTCGTCCTCTGGTGCTGGCAGAACCCCCTCCCACTCGCTGATCTTTGAAGGACCCACAGCAGAACTGCTCTGCTGGCTAAGATCTTTTCGCCATTAAGGCATCCTCCCTTAGGAAGAAAGAGGAAGAAAAGGAATGTGTGTTAGAGACATAATTGTATGTCTATTTGAGAATGAGGATTTGATTGATGTAATTATATATGATTTAGTAACTTTGAAATCTTTCCTTTAACTCACAGGCTGAGAGTCTTTGGTTTTTGTATATTGTGTATGGTGTATTTGAAACGGTCTGAAGACCTCTTCAGTAAACATTCTATTCTATTCTATTGGCAGAAGGGGATGAAGAAAAGGCAGAGCAATAGAGAAGACAGGTTATCTCAGATCCAAATTTCGCCCAGCACAGGGGTATCATCACTATGGTGGTACTAAGTGGGTTAGATTAAGGATTGCCCTGAGTAATTTTCAACCACCTTGAGATGGGAGAAGTTTCAGTTCAGTACAGCTTCATCTGCTCTACTGGAATCCTGGTCCCCTGCCAGTCTGCTGATTTAGTCAGCTGAACTGGTCCTCAGCCATGTTGGCTAGTTAGGATTGTGCTCTAAACCAGTGGATCTCAACCTTGTTGTTGTACTATAACTTCCAGAATCCTTTATCAATGGCCATGGTGAGTGAGTTTTCTGGGAGATGAAAAAGAACAAGTGGAGACCAGAGGTTGACAATCACTGAGCTAAACCTCATCATTTGATTCCCCACGAGTCCAGTGCCCCAAAACAGATTAGGTCTGCAGGCCATTTTCACTTTGGGAAGCTTCATGTTTGCCTGCAATCCCAGTAAATTACTATTAATACACTTTATGAGCTACCTTCCTTTTTAAAAAGAAAGAAAGATATACAACATTTTAAAATACAATAATTAGGCAGCCTTCTGGAAGCTAGATGCACATGGATCTGAAGTGCATTATGAGTACAAAAAAGTTGTTGCATGGTGTGTTGCATTATTCTACCTATTAGCTCTCTGTGGTTAGATGAATCTTTACAAAATTGAACATAGAAGGACATATTATCTTTCCCTATCCATTAAATGCTTTTCCAATATTCCTCTTTCCTTTGTAAGTCCAAAAACAAAAAGATTCAGGAAAAAAAACCTGCAGAAGGCTGCTGATGTTACTACCATGTGCACTTTTTCAGAAATTAAGTACTTCTGTCCTGAGCCTGCCATGGTTTTTACCTAATCACTTTGGTAGTCTGGAAGCCATGGGAGTTGCAGAACAGGAGGAGGACGTCTTCAATTATCAAAAATCACTGCTGGTGGTAATGTCATATTCCCAACCGTTTTAGATGCCACAAGCAGCAAATTTCAGGAATGTCAAGTTGCTCTGGGTAAAAATTATTCTAAGCTTATCATTAAAATAGAACTAAATTGTCTTACAAGTGTTTGTTGACAGAGATGTTCTTGAAATCTCATTCAATGTGGAATAGGGCCTTAATTATTAGTATTTTTAGCACATGCTAGTCTGGACCCTGTACTTTTAAATTCACTCCATTAAATTCTTTCATAATGCCTCATTTCTTCCCTCTCTTTCCAGGTTGTGTGCGTGGTTAATAATTTTAGAGGTAGACAACCAGAAAATGAACATTCACACATGGACAATCTGGCTCAAATGCCTATGATCAGCATCCCTCGAGTAGAAAGCCCTTTAGAAAAGGTAACATTAGTTTCGCAATGGATACTTTTCTTTGACAAATTGATTTTTTTTTAAAAAAATATATAGTTCCTGTAATCCGGCCAGCTGGCCAGGAATACTGATAGTTTGTAGTGCATCAAACAAAACAAAAAGCAGCCTCTTCCAAGCTCCATGTTTTTGCTATTTGTTCTATGAGAAGCAAATCCTCTCCCTGGAGTACAATTTGTAGCTGTTACACATTTGCCTGTGAAACAATAGTAGAAGTCTCTCTGTGTTTCATTCATTCCATTGGAGAACAGACAGCTTTCTTCTGTATTTATTTCTGTGCCTTTTAGAGCAAAAACGTCTCAGTAAGCCTTTCTGACACTTTGTCATAAGGAGGTCACCATCTCATTTGCTCGAGCGAGCATTCAGTTGATGAATGGGTATCTTCGATATAATCCGTTCCGTTGGCTTTTTGTGAGCTGTCAAAATAAAGCAAGATACTGGCTACCCTAGAAGAAGTCTTAGGTCTGATGGAAGCTAACCATATGTCTCCTTGAGAAGATATATGTGATTGAGGGGAATGGAGCCCCTTCCACTTGTACCTTCAGTGGCTTCCCTCATTTCAGGCCCTTTTTTTCTGAGGCCTTCACTTCTAGTATCAGGGCTGACCTGAGCTAGGAGAAAAGGTATTATGGAGTTGATGATGATGATGATGATGGTGGTGGTGGTGGTGGTGGTGGTGGTGGTGATGGTGATGGTGATGGTAATGATGATGATATCTTTCTCCATTTCCCATGCAAGAGCCTGGAAAGGGTGAGAGGAGTATTTTTGATCAGTTTGAACCCCTTGAAATTATTTTCAGTATAAAAAAATTCATTTCTTTTTCATGATTATTTATTAGATTATTATGTCCCATCTTACATCCAAGGTTGTCAGAGTGGGTTACAAAGAATGAGGCAGCACTAAACAATTTAAATCAATATAAACAACACATTAGAACACTGTTGTTGTTGCATCCTGTCAAGTCATAACCAATTTATAGTGATCCTAATAGGGCTTTCAAGGAAAGTGAGATATTTTTAAGGAGTGGTTTTACTAGTTCCACTCCCCCAGTGGGTTTCCATGGCTAGGCAGGGATTTAAACCCTCTTCTCCAGAGTCCTAGTCCATCACTCTATCCACTACACCGCACTGGGAAGACTGTACATAAGTTTAAATGGTATAAAATGCTTTCTCACCTCAGGATGCACTGGTAAACAGAGGTCAATAACTTATGCAACCTATGATCATTAGGACCCCAAAACTTTGATGAAGAGCCTGTTTTTGACTTGGCATTGAAATGTTTTTCCTTTGATTACCGAAACACATTGGAAATTACCATAGTTGTCTGAGGCTTAATTCAGACATGGCTGTACAAGGAACTCAAAGCAAATGACTTCAATGCACAGTGGCTGAACTGTGGTACTGCAACCAAAATTCTGCTTACAGTTTGGGTTCAATCCCAGGTAGCCAGCTCGAGGTTCCCTCAGCCTTCCATCCTTCTGAGGTCAGTCAAGTTGAGTACCCAGCTTGCTGAGGGGGGGAGGGCAATGTGCTGAGAGGGGGGAGGGCAATGTGTAGCCTGCATAATTAACTTGTAAGCCACTCAGAGACTGCATTAAGCACAATGGGGAAGTTTATATAAGCAGCACACTTTGCTTTTTTACCTTTTTGCCATTTATTGCCTATATTACGTTTTCACACAGCACACGTGCGCGCACGCACGCACACGTGCACACACTTGCACACACACACACACACACACACACACACACACTTTGGATTGCCCTCCTAAGAGTAGTTGGTGCTACAACTGGTGGGATTTTTCGAGTTTCTAGGTTAAGAACAAATCCAACTCCCTCCCCCTCAGCTTTTGATGCCTGGATTTTTGTTAATTAAATCTTACTTTTATACATTATAGTTTTATTCTGTTTTGTCATCCATATTTGATCCTTGTGTACCACCCTGGAACCTTTTTGGGAGGTTGTGGGGGAGGAACAATGGTTTGGTTATTTCTATATAAAATTGTGCTGATAACTGTAATGAAATGGAAGGCGTAAGGAGTAGCTGCAAATAAAAATCTGTAAGAAGATAGTAACTGTTTTTACTGTTTTAAAAAATTAGGTTTGATTGCTGTTAGGAGCTGTACAATAGTCTGCTTCTCTGCATCACTGGACCCTGACTTGTCCCATAATTGAGATGGCTGAGTCCCTGCCAGAGTTTAGAAGTTACTTTTTCAGACTCTGACTCCCAGACTCTGCCCACCAGTATGGGTGAGTGGGCAGCATATTTTGAGAGCTGCAGTCTAGAAAAGTAATGTTTGCAAACTCTTGCCTATGCCCTTGAGAACAGCTGTGTGATGGATCCTCAGCTTCTCTCTGGTAGTTGTGTGAGAGGCAAAAGTACAAAACAGGTCCTTGTCGAGGCAAGGACAGGAGATGGATGAAGAATCTATTCTGCCTCACACTAAGGGCAAGAAAGCATGAACTAGAAATCCATGGCAGTCAGAGGATGGAGGAGGTGAGCTTTCTCATCCTAGCTCCAATATCCATTGGTTAAAGAGAGCTCAGGATGTCTGGCTGGCTTCGGCCATAGGATTTTGGGTTGAGCTTTGTTCTTCTTTTCGAGCTCATGATCAGGACAATGAGAGCCCATATTAATATTAACAGAATGTGGGCAGTATCAAGAAGACAACGATATATTGAACTAGTTAAGTAATGGCATTATGAGTCATTAGTTTAGTCTTTGCTGAAGTGACCGTGTTGGATTGGGAACTCAGGAACTGGTCAGGAATTATGTAAATAATCCAGAAGGCTTTTGATTCTGCTTGCTGTCTTTCAGGCTATAGGAACGCCAGTTCTCAGCCCAGCTCTGACCTCAGAGAACCTGAGCTTGAAGGTCTAGGTATAGCATGGTCAGCTCCAGGCCTGTCCTGTCCTCTCCTGTTCCTGACATTGTCTACAAATCTTTGCAATGCAGTAATTGTCTGTGCTGAAAAATACTCTAAGAAAGAGAGAGAGAGAGAGAGAGAGAGAAAATATTGAAAGGTTAAAAATGTATTGTGCTGCATAGCTATCTTCTTCAATAGGCCATGACCCTCTTCGCTGGGCACAAGGCATTAAGCTTCTTTGGCTGCTCTTTAAAAGGTTCTGACAGTGGATCAAGTATTTGCAAGTACACTAGGCAGAAGAAGATGCAGCTGGAGAAATCATTCCCATGTGTGTACCCAGCCAGGTGTTCCCTTCTCTGCCTGTCCTCCTTTATAACCAGCCACCCATCCATTCTGAGCAGTGTTCTTTTTTTTTCCAGCCTAAGAATCCATGACTTTTTAATGACCATGCATCTTGGCAATCAGTGACTGGGATCCTCAGAGTGGGAGGGGGCTCTGAACTTGCATGAGAAGTACAGCTTCTAGAAGGGAGAGGAGGAAAGCACTTGTACCTCCGTGTACATAGAAACGTAGAAAATGCTTTTATACTGGCTCAGATCATGGGTTCATGTCTTGAGCATTGAGCATGATATGATAACAGATTTGCAGAGGAAAAAGATAATAAATAAATCTAGCTCATTGTTGTCAGTGTTGACTGGCACTGTCTGAACCCCCTTCTGCCTTGTGTGCCTTAGGCAAATATCTCACTTGCCCTGCCCATGTTACAGCTTTCGTTCACTCAGGGAGGCTCCTAATGTGATTTAAAATCCTGAATGTTTTGGGTGTGTGAATAGTCTCTACCAATACAGGAGACCTGCAGAAGGAATGGGGAAATCCTTCTCCTGCTTTCAGAATTTTTTACACCAGAAGTTTCTTGTGTCTCAAATTTTTCATTAATTATCTGTGACAAATCTATCAAAACTGAACTGAAACAACATTTTCACCCGTTTGCAATGGCCAGATTTAGTAGCCATGCCTTTTCTCAGAATAGGGAGGATCATGCTGTACCTGCCTCTCACACAGCTGTAAAAGATGATGAGCCCCTCAGGAAAAACAGGTGGCAATTGTCATGTAGCACTACAAACAGAGCAGAATACACAGGGTTTCGCACACTGCAGTTTTAGAGGTAAGCACTCAAATGGAGAATCAGTTTTGTCAGCATCCAGATTTTTCCTCTTAAATTCCTTCCATTTGAAATTTGAAAAAAATCTGCAAATTTTGGAAATTCTTACAAAAACAAACAAAATCACTGCCCATTCTTACCCCTCTCCCTTGCATGCTTCAGAAGTCATAAGAAACATGATTTGGGTGGGGGGGGATAGCACAACTTTATACATTCTACCCTTGCACAGACCTGGACAACAGTGGGTGGAAGAAGTTCGATATCAGTTGAATATCTGGGAAAACTTCCTAACTGTTAGAGCAGTGTGACAATGGAGCCAGTTACCTTGGGGTGGGGTGAGTGCTCCAACACTGGAAACAGTCAAGAGAGAATTAGACAACCAGCTGTCAGATGTACTTTCATTTGAATTCCTTCATTGAGCATGGAGTTGGACTCAATGGCTTTATAGGCCCTTTTCAACTCATTATTCTATGATTCTGCATTGGTCAGCGTCCGACTGAATAATTACTCTGGCATAAGTCTGTTGGCATAAATGTCAGCAGCAAATTGCCACTGGTTCAGAAGACAATTGTATTCATGTTCCGTGTTCCACACGATGTCACGTGCTCTATGTGCAAGAGAAAGATAACCACCTAGTGGCAGTTAACCACTGAGATTTATGCCAATGGACCTTAATGCCGGCACACACAAATAAGAGGATTTTGGCTGTTATGTCTTTTACCTGCAGTGCTTCTGAGAAGATATGAAATTATGCCTAACATGATTGGATGAAAATAACGATTGTACATGTTGCAGAATCAAGGAATTGATCATTGTCAAGAAGAACCATTGCAGCAAAACTCTATTAAATCACGACTCTTTAGAGTTTTCTCCTGGATAACGGGAATGGACCAGATTGAGCATCTTCATTTAAGGCAATAAACGTATGTGCGCAAAAAGCGCACTGGTGTGTTCAAGTGTGGTTTCAGAGGGCCTTCAGTGCAGGTGGACAACATTTTTAGACACTGACTCCTCTGGAATTTTTTTTTTAATTGGTTTCTGTAGTTTCCTGAGAAGGGGGAAGAAAAAGAGGAAAAATTTTTTTAAAGAACTATATGTTTTCAAAATGTGCAGCTTCAGTACCAACATGTTTAATAAACTGATAAGAGGTCGTGCTATGTTCTCAAGGGAGAATTAGAATGCAAGATATAAGTAAGGAGTTCATAATTTATATGTAGGTTTTAAATTTTTAATGTGAGCTCGTTACGTTTCCTCAGAATGTATGTAGTATTCCTCAAATATGATTTCAATATTATTTAAAATGTCTTTAAAAATTAACCCATTAGCATAATGTCAAACTGTTTAATTCCCTCTTCCTTTTACCAGAAACCTGCACCTAAGGTTCTGCTTTCTTAACGCGGGTGTTTCACTGCTTGTGTTTTGACTTTTTTGGCCTTTTGGGCTTTCTTGTTAGCAAGGTAGTCCTGAGTAGTCCTCACTGATACATTGGTGGGATAAAACAATGGCTGTGCATGCTGCAGTTTGTTGCCATACCCTGGAGCTGCTTCTGACTCTTAGAGCGACACATTGTCCATTATTGCTCTATGCAAAACCCAACAGAAAGCTGATGTGAACTAATTGTGAGCACTCAGGGTGCAAGTAAATATTTCTTTTTTTGAGTTTGACAGCACATGCTGTTTTCCCACATGGTGTTTTAGTCTTTCTGGTGTGTCTAAGGAAATTACTCTGACAAAGTTGCTAAAGATTTCATAGACAGAAAACTTTAGCAAAAGAATTTGACCAGTAAGGTACAGTAGAGCTGTCTTTTGTCCCCAATACTAGGTGTAAAAACATTTTTGTAGAGCATAGAAAAATGACTTATTTAAATGCTGTCACCTAGAATTGCCCAACCAGCATGATCAGTTTGTATAACCCAAAGACGAAATCTCCATAAAAATAAGAGCAAACCAATTAACACAATCACAGTTCTAATATATAATTTACAAAATAACCAGTTACTGTACAATGAATGTATCACAAAAGCAGTTTTATTTTATACCAGAATATTTGTGTATAATATAACAAAACAAAATAACTATGTCAATATGTGTCCCTCATACAAAATCCAGTGTGTATAACATGAGAAAAACAATGTAAACATGTAAATATACGTATCTCATAGAAGACAGCTTTTCCTATTGATTAATAAACTAAATGCCAATCTTATTCTGATTCTGGTTAATCAATGATCATGGGCCTTAAGTAATCTGACAACTGCAGTCGGATTTAAGATGGTGTTTTTAAAGATCAGGCTTCTATATAGGCATCTATATTTTTTAAAAAATTATTTATAAATGTAAGCCAACAGCAAAGAAGTTGAACCTTCCTATTGAAAGATTCAAAGAAAGGCATAGTGCAAACAAAAGGGACATTTCAGTGAATCAGAATGAAGTTTTAAAAATATATACTGTTGACTAAAGCATGTAAATGCGAGTAGATAAATAGGTACCACCACGGTGGGAAGGTAACAGCGTTCCATGTCTAGTCGCACTGGCCACGTGACCATGGAAACTATTTACGGACAAACACTGGCTCTACGGCTTGGAAACGGGGATGAGCACCGCCCCCTAGAGTTGGACACAACTGGACAGATTGTCAAGTACTGTACTTTTGTTAGGTAAATTGTTAGGTACCTTTACCTAACATGCCATTTCTATTTAACCTTTGCTACTTTATTCTGTGCCATATGATGTTCTGTCAGTAACTTTAAAAAGTAATGAAGAAAGGAAGAAAGACAGGATTATAATTATAATACCATTGAAACACAATATGATCTGCTGTCAGACTCTGTAGATCTTAATTATTATAAGATACTTATAGAATCACACCTGAGTTAAATACTTCGATTATTATGTCATAAAAGATGTTAAAGACACAATAAGAGTGGAACTGAATGGTATGAGGAAAAGATCAGTTTCTCAAACTCATGTTTTTATTTTAAGGAAAATACAGGATTGGTGAGAATTTCCAAAGGAGAACTGGTGGCTAGGAAGATTGCCCGTAAGCCTTCTTCTGTTTGCAAGAACAGAAGAAAGCAGGCCTAAAAGCAGCTGGTTTTAGATGAATCCACTTTTTTCCTCAGCTACCCTCCAAAACAAGAAGCTATTCTGAGTAGAAGGAAAACAAAATAGGATGGAGTGCTGGAAGGGAGAGTTAGTAACTGTTGGAGGGGCAATCACCTCTCCCTTCCTTCACCCTCAAAATGCCCCCTTTACCTCCATATTTGGATTACTTTGGCAAATGTACTTCTGCTCTGAAGTGTGTACATCTGTGAAATAATTTACATTTCCTGCAGGGAAGTGTGAATGCAGTTGCACAATGCAACAAAAACATTTTAAAATATGGGAACACCTCCCAAAAAAATTGGGTGATGGAGGGAAATGTCATTTTGGCGGGGGATTTTTTTTGCAAAAGAGATAATTGAGGAGACAAATGGGAGGGGGGAAAACAACATTTTGCAGTTATAAACTTCTCACTGTTTTCTTTTCCTCCTTTCTTTTACTCTTGTAGAACCACATCACGGCCTTTGCAGAAGTCACATGATGTTGAAACAGAAGTCTATTCGTTACATTGGACATCATCCCTTTTCACAGTTCACTCATAATTGCAGAAACATTTTGAATATAAGGGGGGGAAACTTTACCTGGTTATATGGGCCAGATTTAGGAGCATTAACATTTTACATCAGCCGGTGAAGAATATTCCTGAAATGTCAAAAGTTAAGAGTATTTTTCCAGCAAAAAGCATTGCTCCCTTTAGGGATGGGGTGGGTGGGTAGGAGGATGTTACTTAGAAAAGAGCCTCCCTGAGCACATCACATAGATATCCCATATTCCTTCTCTGGGATAATTACTGTTTTTTTTTAACTTAGCCTTGTAAAGTATCTGGTGATATACCATTAAGTCTAACTGAGCTGGACTTTTTCACCTTTATTTTAAAATTCAGCATGACACTTGTTCCCATGCAAACTGATCCCAGTATATCCAGATTTTTTTTAAAAAAAGAATCACATCCAGTACTAAAATGCTGTTTGCACTTTGTATTATGATGTGGTTCACATACCATGTTTCTATCTTAAGACTGGTGCTTCTGCTTTTGAATTTTAAAGAAAATGCCAATTTATACTATAAGTATTGTATCATAATTTTGAAACAAATTATTTATTTGGATATTTTCCTGACTTCATGTGGTTGAATAGCTAATTTTTGTCGTTCTTGAATGTCTTCAGTGTACCCCGTAGTTAGGATTAGGGATGAGAACATTTAGAGATTGGAATATCGTATAATTTTTGTGATTAATGTTCTCCTGTTGAAGGTTAATGGCTCTATTCTTAAGCCCAGCTTGCTTTCTCACCACCCCCACCCCCTTTCCTTTTGTACCATCAAAGTCCTTGGCTGGCTGGCTGGCTGAAAGAAGCCATGATCCTTACTCTGCAAGGCCTGGGCAGCACTGTTAAAGATAAGACCTTTTCGAAGTCATTAATAATTAGGATTACCATCAGTTCAAATTTACTTTATGGCACATAGCAGACACAACATAAAACTAAAAGGATTACTGTTCATGGATAGCACTTGCAGGTTAATGCAGCACAGCCAAAGATCCATTTTCAAAAGTGATCTCAGATTTTTGAGAATCAAGGGAGTGATGCATAAAAAAGATGGAGCACAGCATAGAATATGCTAAGCTCCAAGCTCAAGGAGACCCCCTTTCCCCTCTGTTGTTGGCATTTGTCCCTGTGTTTTGTGTCAAATATGCCGTCAGTGACTTAATTCTTCAGTACTAGAGAATAAAGGATCTGTTAAGGTGAGAAGGTTGGCTACCATAATTCCCAAGGATAGTAAACAGAGTGGACCATATTTACTGTCTTTCATACCCCTAGCAAGTAGTTCCCTTCTTTTTTCCAGCAGATGGATTGGAGCTGGCCAGTGCCCAGTTCTTCTTGGCTTGGCTCACACGGAATCCAGGATAGTTTTTTACTTTGCAATAACAAACATCTGGGCGGGCATAAGATCAAGATCACGACATTGCAAATGTATATGATGAACCTAAATCCAAAGTCACACTAATGTGACAGGGCTAGAGGGTGTGGTGCGGGTGCTATGAGTGGAACTGACCCCCTCCCAGTTCTGTTGAAGAAAGCACTTCTATCAGTGGAACAGTTATACAGTGCTGCCTCGCTTAACGGCGATAATCCGTTCCAGGAAAATCGCCGTTAAGCAAAAACATCGTAAAGTGGGGGGAAAACCCCCATTGAAACGCATTGAAACCCCTTCAATGCGTTCCAATGGGGTCAAAACTCACTGTCCAGCGAAGATCCTCCATAGGGCAGCCGTTTTCGCTGCCTGTCTTGTGAGGAATCTGACCCAGAAAACAGCGGGGAGCCATTTTGTTTACCTGGCGGCCATTTTGAAACCGCCACTCAGCTGTTTTTAAAATTGTCGTTTTGCGAAGAATTGGTTCCCGAGGCAGGGAACGGATCATTGGAAAGCGAAAAAACACCATTTAGACCATCGTTTTGGGATCGCAATTGTGATCGCAAAAAGATCGTCGTAGTGCAGTTTTGTCGTAATGCGGGGCAATCGTAAACCGAGGCACCACTGTATTGTGTCCAGCTGTATAATCCTCTTGACTGAACAAAGTCAGTGTATATGGATTATAAGGGTCCAGCAGCCCTTCTGGTATCTAATGAGAACATGTTCTGTAATCTTTCCAGGCTCTTACCTTTTCCAGTTTTATTAAAGCCAGAAAATACCCCTCCCCCTTATTGAGTCACACATCAATAGCCAAACAAGCTCTGTTGTTGTCTTCAGATAAGAATCACTGCTTCAGATTGCTAAAGCTATCCTTGAAAATGGGTCTTGGGCTTCCAGATCAGGGCCTTTTCACTTTACCTTTCCAATGTCAGGACAGGACAGATCAAGCTGGGCCATCTTATAACCTGAGATTCCAAACTTAACTTCTCTTTTTCAGCTGGGATGCTGCAGATGGTGGTGATGGATATTCCTCATCCCACTCATGAACAGTAGTCATGAAAATAGTAGGAGGTTTAACCAAAGTACTGTCATCCTTCCAGTTATTATTAATGTATCTCAGGAATTTTGGGGGGCATGTCAGGCAAACAATAAAAGGATTAAGAGAATAAAAATACAGAGAAGGTAGAAGTAAGCTGCTTTTCATAAATTCCCTCTTTTTTTAACATCACAAAGGGATATATATTCACATTGTATAACCAAAACAAGTAAATCAGTAATGCCAGACCTAATTCAGCTTGACAATCCAAGATGAAAGATGTTTTCTTATTACAACACTTTCGAAACCACTTTATTTTGTTAGGAAAATGAGACATTGGTTTAACTTTTCTCCCAGCACAAATTCTGTGTAGCTTGTGACCATTTCCCACATTTTTAATAAAATGAGTGATATGCCTTGTTTCATCCATAGTGAATCCTTTGGGTCTTCCACCAAAGACAGCCAAGTTGAACTGCTAGTACTGTGAGCCTCCTTATTTCCCCTTGTCAGGAGAAAGGTGGCCTATAAACAAGACTAATAAAAATAAATAAAGTTCAATCAGGTGGCCATTCAGATGTTTTGAACTGTAGTTCTCATAATTCATTACTATTGGGCACACTTGAATGTGGTTCTTAGGATTTTAAATACTGCCCTGATCCATTGAGATCTGAAGCTACGTGATCAGTAGAATTGCATGGCACAAATCTTTTAAGATTGCATTATGAAACACTGATGGATCTTATTTAAAATGAAACAAAACAGAATCCCCCTGCATGTTGCAAAGCAGCATGTGAGAAAGAGGGGATGTAATGATCTTGTAAAAAAAAATTTTTTTTTCAAGAAGTTGTTTATTTTTGTGTGCTCTTCCACTTACAGTCTGATCAAGTCTGGTGAGAGCTACACCATGTGATTCTGCTGATCATGTAGCTTTTGAAGGGCATCTCTTTATGACGTATCTTTCAGTGAACACACACACAGTTGCATCCATCCTACACAATGGATGAGAATGGTTATTCATTTTCAGTGGCCAGTCCTGCCATGGTATAAGGCACAAAGTGGGTACGTTCCAGAGGTCCAGGGACTGCACATGGCCACCCAGGATCTTGGAGGGCTGCTCATGTCTCTATTCCTTTCAATATTTTTCTCTTTTTTTTAATTGGGAAAAAAACCCTGACACTCTCTAGGAGCTACAGGGAGTAACTCTGCCATTCCCTTTGCTCCCTTGTTTTTAAAAAAAAATTGGGAAAAAACTCCTGACACTCTCTAGGAGCTACAGGGAAGTAACTCTGCCATTCCCTTTGCTCCCTTGCTCCTGAGCTGTGCTCAGTGTCTTCTGATAGAAGAAAAGATCCCCTCAGCCGAAAATAGCCAAAAGTTCATGAAGTTGCCCCATATGGGCCACACTTTGCCCAGCCCAGCCACAGAAGCATCTTGTGAGAAAGTATCTTGCTTCTCCAGTGATGATGCGATTCCTGTGCTTCCAGTTGTGCCCTCTCAGGAACAGAGGCAGCTGACCCATGGATGTTCCCCAAAGAATATGTTTTGCTGTGGATTGTTCTCCAAAAGTGATCATAAGAAGGAAAGAATCGAGCCCTTAACTATGATAGTGCAATGTGTGTTACATACACCATTTGTTAAAGTATCAATTATATTTGATGAGTCATTGCATATCCCATATGCTCACCATGCTTGGTATGTTTACTTTCTTGGTCTAGCTATTTAGGACTCACCTTATGTAAAATTGTTCACAGTGAGGATTTCAGGGAAATCCGTGGTTGGTTGTTGCAGTACAGAAATTCTGCAGATTTTATATCTGATTCATAAGTTCAGGAAGAGACTCTTTTATGTTAAAAGAAAGACTATTCTTTTTCAGCATATTGTCTTACGTAAATCAGCATGTAACTGAGTCTGTCTCTCAGGATTTATAACAGCCTAGTATTTGGGTTAAACTGATCATGTTCTCTCTTTGTGAATCAGCAGTAACAGGGTGGAGAAGAGAGAAGCTGCTGTGTACTGTATTTTTAAAGAAAATAAAATAATTTTTTTCAAGCATCTGTTGCAAGATTCTTTTTTTCCTTCAGAAGAAACTCTTGAGGGGCCTGTTTGTCAAGCTTTCTGTATTTTAATTGTTTAATACTTAAAAAAGAAGAAGAAGAAGAACTCTTGGTAGGCTATCTTGGGGTCCCTCTGCTTGGAGAAAGCCAACTATAAATTTAAAAAATTGATACATAAAATGTGTTGAACAGCCATTTTTATTGTGGAAATGCCCACTATCTACAGTATTATAGGAGATATGAGGAGGAGGTTGATCCAATCCTTGGAAACTGCCATGTAGATCTCGTAAACTATGTTAAGTTTTTTCAAGGGATTCGACCTTAGAAGATGGCTGCAGTTACTTTATCTGCAAAACCCTAGACAGCTTGAAAGTACTTTGAAACCTCTTCTACAATACAAAGAAACTCTTCTACTCCAGAAAGTTGCCAGTCAGCAGGCTGTCCCCCGGACTGTCTCACCATCTGGAGCTAGTTCAAAGGTAGGCAACCTGAATCCCTCCAGGTGTTTTAGACTACAAGTCTCCTATGTTTTGGTCAATGTTCAGGTGTTATGGGGGTTGTAGCTCAAACATCTAGAGAGCACCAAATTGCCTGACCACTACTTAGGTGGTGGGCTACAGAAACCCACATTTCAGACATGAAACCTCACTTCATAGTATGCTCAGTCCAGTGGGAGCCTACCAGTTACCATCTTTAGTATCATCCCAGCGTTAAGCAAAATCTTTGTCCATTTTTTTTACCACGTAAAATTAATTGGTTGTGTAATGTTTTCATCTGTCTCGTTGAACCTTTGTGCCACATGATTATTTAATTGGTCTGCTATGTTTTTTAAAATTATATTTGATTTAAACATTGTATTCATTTGTTTGTTTGATATGTATCCTGCTTTTCTCACATGATTTGGTTCAAAATAAAATTTTAAAATGCAGACAAAATTAGATAATGTACAGGAAATATTATTTTGTATTGATACTTTGTTACCTTTATAATAGTTCAGCTATAGGATATGAGAATCTTGGAAATAAAGGAGAATGAAATCAACAGGAGAAGATTAATCAGGACACAGGAAGATATTTTAGATAAACTTTCTCCATGGTTTGTGTTCCTGTCATCTAGACCAATTTGGATGCATGTGAGGTCCAGGAAGAGTTTCTTAAAGTCCACCATATTATAAGACAATCCAAAATCAGCTCAGGTGATTTCCTCTGTAGACTGACTTCGAAATGAAAAATCGTGACAAAGCATATGGGAACAACAGCTGGGTCCCTATCTACAGTATACTGATGTCCTTACATGTATTCTCCTGCATATTTGCAATTACGAAATGCAGAAGGCATGCGGAGACAGCAGCTGGCTTGCATCTTGAGGTTTTAGGCATGCTCATTTTAGCAATATACCTATGTCACTATTTTTCAATTGTAAATGATGTGGCTACTTGCAGTTTTTTTAAATTAATGTGCTGTATGGAGAATGCTTTGAGACACATTTTCCATAATTTTCCACACTGGGACCTGCAGGGAACTTTGGCGATTATTTCACAGCTTTATAGATCCTCCTGTACACCATGCCAAATGCAAGTATGATAGCTTGTGTCCCTAAATTAGCATAACCCAATCAGTAGAAGAGGACGAAGGGGAGGCGTCTGTCACAAAAGCATAACAAAGAAGGTGTATGACAGACATTCACAGTCTAATACCAGAGATGCAAAAATAATGGATTTCTCCAAGTACTAAATATGCACAGCACCATACAAATTGATTAGTTTTAAATATGGCTGTCATCTGCTCCATTTGGGGCATTTATCTGTCTATCCAACTATCTACTTTTTTCCAAACACAGTGCAGTAGTACAGCTTGTAGCAAGTTGTGAATACAAATGGTGTAAAGTACTATTTATATACCAAGTAATGCAATGTACCATGATAACAGTAATAGTAATAACAGTCCTTCCCCTCCCCCTCCCCTTAGAAGTGCTTCAAGAGGGCGGGCGGTCCTTTGCAGATCCAAGACGTTGAGATGTGGCAGCTCAGACAAAGCTCACAGATGATGTGACTAGGCTGCCTCTATGTCCCTACAGCAGACAGTTAAGAGGGCAGCCCTACTTCTAAAGGTATTTGTTCCCTTTTGGTTAAAAACAAGGCGCCATAAAATGGGAAAGCAGAGACCTTG